CACCAACTGGAATGATGGACTATTGATTTTCCAACCAAGATTTTACACTGTCTAAGTAATGTTCACGTTGAGTTCAATAAGGAAGCTCTACAACTGAGGCTGCAAGCCAGATGGGATTTTGGATATCAGCTCACTCACTATATCAATGCCTTTTCAACATTAATTTTAAGCCTATAACGGACGTCTGACATGTAATTTCAGTCATCAAAAACGAAAGACCGTTCACTATAAGATAAGTGAACGAAAATAGAAACAATAGCAGGCCTTGAGAAGCTCAGCAACAAACAAATATTTTGGAACAGGGCATGTCTCTAGCAAGTTTCCGCAATCTCTACATGCAAAGACTTTTGTCAAACAAACTGTTATGTCGCAAATTGCTCCTACAAATACATTACTCGTCACCGAAAGAATAAAAGCCATTACATTTATAAGCAGTGGAAATGGTCATGCACCTGGCTCTAAAATTATTATAGTTGTAAACTTTTGTACGACCAATGCAGTCCAGTCCAGGCACGGATCCAATATAATGATCCAAGAACTTTGGTGCAGTAAGACAGTAACTTATTTGTATTAACGAGGCATACTATGCTACCGTTAACATTGGGTCGAGATTTACCTATAGGATTAAGGTCTAAAGACAAATGTAATGTTAGAAAGTAGTAAGATAGTTAAAGTAGCCTTAGGGAATGGGGTTAGGGATTAAGGTTTGAAGTTTGAATTTATAGAATACAGGACTGACTTCTACAACCTGATAGGGGTCATGTCTAGCAGCCGTGGACCCAGGGACCTTATATAGTTTGACAAGACCTTATAAATCACCCGGACGGCTTCGTTGGAGTCCGCACGGTGTCCACAATCAAAAACATGCCCGTTTCAAACTTCCCCTTTTCTATGCAATACCGGAAGGTGTTATCGTATTCTTTTGGAGAAGCGCCGACTCGTGCGACCACTATAACATGCTCTACAGGAGCGAGTAAATGAGTAGATGCACCTGGAAGTGGGCTGAGCTGGCAGCCCATCCTTACCTTCTCCATGTAAGACCGGGTTGGTCGAGCATAATATCCTAACTCTTGCTGCTGAGAAGGTTCGTGAAACGGCTTGGTCAAGACATCTTCTTGGGAGTTCACTTGTTGCCTGCCCTTGGAAGAGGACTGTGAGGAATTGCGTCTTCTTTTCCACAGTAAGTGTGGTGAATTTTATTTGTAATGAATCTCTCAGGATACCCGTTCTCACGAGGCAGGTGCTGGATTCTCTAAACCTTTATTTCAATACTGTCTGTCGGGTGATTGAAAGGGTCCCAGGAAACTGTCCAAGTTCTCTAGGTCAGCGCCTGCTAGCAACAGCAGAAGCGACCGCTATCAGGTGGAAGAAGCCAGAGGCCGCGAGTTCGAGGTTCGGGTGGGACGCCACTTGGGTCTTTGTACGATTGGCTGACGACGGCTAATAAGCCAGAAATGACCATTCCAGTCTTCCTTGTCTTTTCCGCCTAAACTACCAGCTGCTACGGCTGTCAGGGCCTCTCTCGAGACCCCAGGCAGAGAGGTGAGTTCTGTTAGCGGTCGGGTGAACGCTGATCAATGAAGAAACCAGTCTCATGGAATACAGTGTTATAGCCGGGGTGACAGAGTAGGGTTCTGCTTCTAGTTAATGGCTAGAGTTAGAGTTTATTGTTAGCGCTAGAGGTTAGGTTTTCGAATATGTGCTTTGGAGTCAGGATCGCGAGTTAGTTTTAGTTTTAGAGTTGGTGGTAAGATTATGGGTCAGGCTTGGAATAAGTGGCCTAGATTTCCATTTCTTTCAGTGGGACCAATTGCCGATGCTCACAAACGCGGTCGGTTAACTGTACAACGATTCACCTGCCTTGGCTTCTTCAATGGCAAACTACTGTAAAACCAATGCAATGCAGGTTAACATTCTCAAGAAGATATGATTCCCTGAAAATAATTAAAGAATTGACTCTTATAAAAAAAATCAGAACGGTAATACGTACATGCATCTTAGACGAGAATATTTTGAGAGTGTCTTATTCGCACGGACCTCTGGAGCAATACCCAATTCAATAACAACACTCCATCTTGTATGAATAAACTCAAGATTATTCTTCTAGACTAGATAGTGTAGTTTCAAAGTCTATTTAAAGATGGAACTGTATGCTGTCCATATTTCGACGAATTCTGCCCACATACGGGTATTTTAACGTTGTAAATGTAAGATTTCAAGTTCCCAACATTGTTTATTGCCATTACATTTGCGTTTAGGGTTTATAGCATGTAAGCTCCGTAATTCCACGTAAGGAAAATAGTAAACTTTTTTATGTCAGTAAGAAGACTTCATATGAAACTCATAAATTTTGCAATTGGTGTGTCCATGCTGTATGGTTCTTAATGAGCACACTGCACAGTTTCAAAAAAGTTCACAATTATAAATTTTTGGAAACCAAAATACATCCTTCTTGAAGCTATGAAGAGAAGTACAAGAAAGGAATCAAGTAATCAACTTTAAAAATGTATACGATATAAATAGAATAGATCATACAACTTACCCAATCAATTTTCGTCCAGGAAGGTTTTTGTAGGCGGCAGACCGAAATGTCGCCGGCTTATACTGCACATAAATCACAATTGGAACCACACTTCAGTAATCCTTACTAATCGAAAACGCATTTCAGAAGATCGCATCACGTTTGATGAGACCGGTCTCTGACTGCATGCATGGGGCAGGTGTAAATGGATTGCGTGCCCTTCTCGGCCACTGGCCCGGATTGATAAATTAATTGTGCTAAAGGTACTACTTGACATATGTAAATATCGCGTGTTTTGCATAGTATCTTAGTATTGCTATTGTCTTGTCATCGGAGGGATGTAGAGAGAAAAAAATAAGGGGCTACCATCAAAGGCTGTGTCACTGTAAACAAATGCACGCGCGACTCAACTATGCTGAGACCACCTAACGGTGGATTTAGCGATCGAATTATCGGCTGCCCACCGGGGTGCTTACCGGAAGGAAAACATAGTTGAACTCCTCAGGGACGTTGTTGAAGAAGGTAATCGATTGGAGTGGTCGAAAAAGTACATCGCGTAGGGGCGACGTAGCCATCTTCATTCGCCCATCTTCCGCGAACCATTGCTAGGTGTTTAGAAGACAGGCAGCGACTGAGAGTGGACGCCATGAAATAATTAAGACATGGGAAAAAAGCTGCTTATGAGCGGAATAAATAACACTGCTCAGGTGAGCATTTTTAACAAAAACAAGGGCGACCAGCATGCCTACTTCTAACGCAGTAGTCGTAGTCAGCTGGCCATATTTAACCTCAGCTGGTGTACCACCCGAGGCTAGATCCCACTGTCTCTTGCTACTAAGCCCAATACTTTAATCAGTGAGCCAGGAGCTAGTTGGCTCTTCGGCTTAGATCGAGAATAATGATATTAGTTAATGAATATTAAATGATCTGTTACAGGACTCAGATGGGTGAGCGTTTATGAACCAACACCTTTCATCACAAACCAAAAATGGCCATTCCGATCTCTCTTGTATTTGTCGGTCCACCTTATCGCATAGGATGACACTGGAAGAGGCTGTCCTGGTCAAGAAATTAAATATCCATGTGAAAGACACGCGTCACTGCAATAAACAGAGAAGGCACCTAGGTAACTTTAAAAACATGCCTTAAATTATGGGAGAAAGGTAACTTCTTGCTGCTTTGATATTTATTCGGATTAATAGCAGCTAAAACTTAAAAGCCTAGTTCTCCCCAAAAACACTTATGTGAATTAGACAAAACCAAAGCTATAAATGCCTCCCGTCAACCAAACAACTTTAAAAATGGTCTAAGCAGTATTAAATATCTCCATAAACGCGTTAAATCAAGTTTTCTGCCAAAAATGGACGGCAAGCGGACGCAGTGTATGATAGTACTTACACTGACGCCATCCTGAGCTTTATAGGGTTGTTTTTGCATCTCCGCTCCTCCCGACTGGTACTCTGCTTCTCGAAGCAGTCGGTTCTCAAGTCGTCGAATATTGGCCGGAGCGACAAAGGGCAGCTGACCCACGTAGAGGCCTTCATCTTCCGCGTAGCGAACTGACCGACCTTGCGTTTTAACCTCCAGCGGAACTAAGTGGAAAGTAGAGAGTGAGGTGAGACTTACCTTCCAGACCAGAGGGGGAGTAGAGGATGTGGCTTTCTGCTTCAATTCGCTCAAAAGGCAGCGGCCAGCGACCCCTGCCCCAAACAAGGTCGTGTGGTTGCGAATCCAAGAGGCCACCAGCAAAGTCACCCTGGCAAAAATGAAACAGCCGTATAGTGAAACTCAAAAGAGGAAACACTTTCGCCCTACTGTTAGTTGGAAATGCATAGAGTGCTGAGCGGAGTTGAACAGAAACAACGTACTGGAAAGTCTCAAACAGCATGCGACCCCATATAGATTGAATGTAACAGAGAATAGAAGGGTGGCACAACAGACACGGAGGTAAACTTTCGCCGGATGTCAGATTCACAGCGTAAATGAAAGACATTTCCTTAATTTAATTAGGTAGGTTGTGCCTTAGCTGTATGCAAGTATTCGGTTAACGCTAAGAATCACAAATAACGTAGGATATATGCGCGGTTTTACGCCGCATACTAAAAGAGTATTTGAGTACTAACTTCAAAAGTGAGCAACATTCACGCGGAAATCGCTTCATAAAACTAGTACGACGAAAAAACTAAGTACTGAAAGGTAAAAAAGGGGGTAGATTTTGTGAAAAAAAGGTTAGAGTTATTATATGTAAAAGATCTGGTAGTAAAAGCCATTAACACACCACAACCACCATCGTCCTTTAGAGTAAGCCACACGCTCTTAAATCCGTATTATAAAGGGCCCACAAGACATTACGTTTACACAAAAGATACAATCATGACGGCCCAAGCAAGAACAACAGCATCAGAACTTTACACCCGGGATTTTACAACACGTTGATTAATTTCCATCGATCACTAACGGAACTTCCTTGGCTCGCTCTGCCGTAAGCCTCATTTATCGTACACTGACAGCAGCCGTATCGGATAGAAGTCTAGGCAGATAGTATTGTCGGCTAAGACAAGAAAGGCTGGAACGAAAATGTCTGGCTTATTAGCTATCGTCAGTGAGTCATACCGAATCCCAAGTGGTGCATCATCCGAAGCTCGAATTAGCGACCTTCTTAATCAGAGTCTAACTCCCTAACCAGTGATCCATGAGCTACTTATCTTGCCGGTTAAGGTCGCACTATATTTGGAAACTTGAACAACAAACGACCCTACATACAACATACTAAGCAGGTGGTTACCATGTCTACTGACTGATAAATTGCAGTGTTAATAGATCTCTATTGATTGACTTAAGATGATCAAACTTAAGCAATTGTAAACTTGATTATGAAAGCCTTAGGTATCTTTAATTTCAGGCAGTTTGCTGTCGCTCTAACTTATTGGTGAGATCAAAGGTTTGTGTCAGTAAATGAAGTCTGGTTGTTTAAACAGGTTTTCGGAATATATGTGTCAACCACAACATCGACACTTTATAAGGAACCGGTATCACAAAGCAAAACTTACAGACGCTCGAGGCTGTTGTGTGATAGCAGAGACCGCAACGCTACCGACGACAGATTGTTCAGCCCGCTCCCGGACGTACTTGATGTTCTCCTTATCGGATGACTTTGGTCCTTCCGCCTCCATTGGCCAGCTTTCCCTCACAAAAAAGTTCACTTCCTCTTCTTCCGTAATTTCAGCCTTCTGCTTCAATGCTTGCCAATCTGATACGATCTGCAAGATCGCAAACATCCAGTTCCACCAGACAGTTACAATATTTCAAGCCAATTACATTAGCTCAAAAGGTTCACAAAATCTTAGGTAATAAAATTGTTATGCACCTAGGTTACAAATATGAACAGCAATTTTAAGAGTTTTTCAAAAATTTTACTTATTTAACAAAAATGATGCAACCTTTGAGCAAAATGCAAACATTTATGAAAACAGGTTCAAGAATTAGTGTGTGATATATTTTACCGATAAGGCTTAATTACGAGTGCATGAGACTTGCGCATTTTACAGTGCGTACTTTCAATAACACATCCTATAATTTCCCAACGCAAGTAAAATATATATACCAAACGTAAACATTTTCTGCGAAATGAACTTAACCACCTAAGACGTTTCACGAACGAGCCAAAGTAAATAGATTCCATGTTCCAAAGGATTTGACAAATCCGACCTGTATTTGGACCTTTTTCTTCTGAAAAATATCGTGATTTAAAATATAGGTAAACTTTTGAAGTTCAGAATAAAAACGAGAGTATATTCAGAAGTGCACACTTCAGAAATGATTTCGCTTGACGATTATTGTGTGACCACATGATATACATCTCACGGCTGCAGGACAATGCATGTTTCGTAACCGTCTGGCACCAGTTTGTGTGCAGTTTATGAGGAGTACGCAACTAGTGCATCCACAAGTGTTTAGTCTAGTCACAACGATGAATAAAAAGCGCACTCTTCTGTGGGTAAAGCTAACGTTTAATGTACCTCCTCACGAGGTTGGTCGGATCCTTCACTTTTTCGTCGGGGGATGCTCTTGGAACTCCGTCTGCGTGCGCCTGCGTCAACCATTTGCGCATGAGCAGAATGTGTAAGTTGTTCGTCCACATGTTGAATGACCTTTTCTTTCTGCTGTTCCTTAGATTTTTTCCGCTAAAGATTTTCAAAGTCAGAAAGACAGAAAAATTCACAACGATCACGCTTTATATTGCAGTAACTTGATAAAAACGACCACTATTGGTAAAACTTGCCTGCGCAGATAATTTCTGGCGATTTATTTTATCCGGCTTTTCTAAATATATGAAGAGAACAAAAATTATTTTTATTAAGGAAACTTTAGTCTAATTTCAGATAAGGCTCTATGAAAGCCTTCTGCCAAGATGTGTAAAATGTCATTCCATGACGTTATAGTACCACACAACGCACTTCTAATTAAACCACCTACTGACTCAGAATAGTATGCGTATCGGATTTACTGGGACATACAAATGACAGCATTACATAAGTGTAAAAGAGTAAGGCAAGGAAATATAATTTCACAAGCGTATCTTGCGGCTACGGGCATTGAATATATAACAATATTTTCAGATATCCTTTTACTGTGGAAAAAATTATGGCCGTTTAAATTAGCTTTATCAATTGGTATGGACTAAAACGTTAAAGCTATCATACTTATTTCGTGGCAGCAGATATTTAGTTTGCTAACCTCGAATGTACGCGGGATCTATGCCTTGTTTCAATGGTTTAGCCGACCTAGTTCTTTCAACAGATGTGGGGACGTCACGGTCACGCGAACGCTAAATAATAATGTTATTTGGAGGAACTTCGTATCACCTGTCTACTATTACGAGCATGACGTTTTTCAAGTTTTCGTTTAAGTTTTTCAGCCTCCTCTATTTCAATATCCGATAGGGATTCAGCTTCCGTGAGTATTCTGGAAATATCTTCCTAAAGGGACGATTAAAATGTTATATCACATACATCAGACATGTGCGAGACTTTTCGTGTAGATTAAATTATTATCCACCGTTGAGATCCTAGTAAACCCTTCGCCGAACAAATGATGCCCTAAACCTGTAACTGCGCACACGGTCGAACTAGTTAAATAAGCGGTTTGTAATGTAAATATAAGTTTGACAAAGAAAAACAAAGTATGTTTTGTTAATGATAGGCGTATTTTTGTAAAAGATCTTGCATGTAAATATTCCAAATTAGTCAAAACCCCTTGGTGATAAAGAAAAATATATTGAAAATCAAAATTGTGTTTAAATATTTCGTTTAGGTCCTGTGATCCCAGAAACAGAATAGAGACGAGCACTATTCCAAAAGTTTTTGTGATGTTTTTGTATATGTATATGCTTTAAAGATTCAGCATTGTAGCAAGAGTAGTTTCGAGGTGTCCGTCCTCAAGAATCACCTGTTTCGTGTGGTCGTACAGGCCGATTTAACCTACCTTCTATAAGGGCCGACGATTCCAAATCTTCGAAGCGCTTTAAGCATACATACCCATACAACAAAAATTGCAGTCACGTTTCCAACCATCTTCGCCGTGTCTTAAGGCAACTAAACGCGCAATACAGGTAGTATTTGCGCTGAGATGGGGATTAAGCTCAGTGGTGGGATCTGGCGCCGATGGGCAAGCAATTCAAGAATTTCACAACGGATTTATCAGCTAGGCTGCTCGGTGGCTGTCAAATTTCCACATTTGTTAGTGCCTGTCTTTTAGTATTTGTGCTAGAAGAGCCAGTGAGGAGGATGGCTTCTTCCAATACCTTTGCGATGGGCAGACTTATTCAAATGCTGATTAAAATAAGAGCCTCGGTGTTCTAATAACTCCTCGCTAAACTTTCTTCGCACGCGCGACATGTGCTATTTGTGATTAGGCTTAGATTCGTTCATATTGATAAGGAACTCGCCGGAAAAACTTACGGAGCATTTAATCGGTCCCACTTGGAATATGCTGTCCAGATTCGGCGTCCGTAGTTTAAGGGCGTGTTCGAATGTCCGAGTGAGACTATGGTGTTGTATGGGTATATATGGTTAAAGCGCTTCGCAGATTTGGAAGCGTTGGCCCTTCTTGAAGGTAGGTTAAATCTGCCTGTACGACCACACGAAACAGGTGATTCTTGAGGACGGACACCTTGAAACTACTCTTGGTAAACTGTCAAATCTCTAACGAAAACTATAGGCGTAAACGGCAGATTTATATTAGCAAATAAAAGCATCCTGCTAAGTATAAGCCAGTTTCAGAAACTAAGTCTACTTTGACATACTGGCAACAATAACTTGAAGCCTACGTTTGGTCAGCTGTCTTTCATCAAAAACAGTTTGTCGTAGAACAGTCGAGTTTCAGAAAATCAGTTCAGAAGGAGAAGATGCGATCGCTGGAGTTAGCAATTTGTTGG